AATAAACGAAGAGAATTGAAATATCTTAGTATCTTCAGGAAAAGAAATCAAACGAGATTCTACGAATAGTGTGAGCGAAAGTAGAGTAGCCTACATATATATAAATATATGTAAATAAGTAAAATAGACCAAAATCTGTTTAAATATTAAGGGGAACCTTCCTCTAAGGCTAAATATGATATCATAAGCGACAGCGAATAGTACCGTAAGGGAACGGGTAGAAATAGTAGTTTTATAAGCAGCTCGAGTTAAAAGTAAGAGCGTACCTTTTGCATAATGGGTCACCAAGTTAACATTAGATGCGAGCAAAACCGCGTAGTTAAACCGATGATTAACAAAATGAATTAGTGTCTAAAGTTAGACCCGAAGCTAGGTGATCTTACCATGGTCAGGGCTATAAAGGTCCGAACGGGTTATTGTGGCAAAAATATCCGAAGAACTGTGGTAAGTATAGTGAAAGACAAAACTGACCTAGATAGCTGGTTTTCTGCGAAACCTATAATAGTAGGCAATTCAAGTAACATCTTCGCAGGTACAGAACTTCATCTCAGGCAAGATGTAAAATTTATATGATTTCAATTATATAAAATACGTTTTATTTTGTATATATCGGGGAGTCGTAGAGGCTTTACCGGTGAGTTTGTAGACTCGGAATGGCAACGATGAATCTTGAATTATCAGACATAGAGTGATAAGGTTGTATGTCAAAAGGGAAACAGCCCAGAACAAGAGTTAAGGTTCCAAAATTATTATTAAGTGAAAATAAGAAGGTCTTTATTTATGTCGACAAGGAGATGGGCTTAGAAGCAGCCATAATTCAATGATTTCGTAACAGAGCGCTTGTTAAGTTTTTTTAAAGGCATCGAAAATTCAACGGATCTAAATAATATACCGAAATCTTGTCCATATTAAATAAAAATATTTATTGTTTAATACTGGGGTAGCAGAACATTGAGTAAACCTGCAACATTTTATTATTTTATAATAAATGTGATTATAATATAGTTCCTGTTTAACAGAGAATTATATGTACAGCAAACTCAAGAGAGAATGGTGACATGAGTAACAAAAAAGAAAGGTTAAACATATAGAAATTTTAAAACCTATATTGTTTAAGTTGGAGGTAACTCCACCACTCGCCTAAAGCTTATGGTTTTTAATTAAAGTAACGGCCTCTAAGTTTACAATCCCAAAGGTTGAAACGATGAGAAAATCTTATTACTTAAATGACGACATTTTTTTAGTGGAAAATGTACTGGAAAAATAAGTAATATATCAAAGATAATTTGATGAAAAATAACCGTACCTAAAAACTGTGACAGGTAAGCTAGTAGAAAATACGAAGGCGTAAATGAGCTAACAATCATAAAGGAACTCGGCAAACTAACTACGTAACTTAGGGAGAAGTAGGTCTCATTTGTCCATTTATAACTTTTAGTTATAAGTGGTAAGAAGGAAGAAGCATGAAATCGTGTTGTACGACTGTTTAATTAAAACAAAGCACTTTGCATAAGACTTAAAGTCAAAGTATAGAGTGTGATTTCTGCCCGGTGCCGGCTGGTTAACGAAAATAACTAACTTTAAAAGGTTTGGTAACGTAGGAACCCCCGGTTAATGGCGGCCTTAACGTGAGGGTCCTAAGGTAGCGGAATACCTTGACTGTTAAATGCAGTCTTTGCATGAATGATGTAACGATACAACAGCTGTCTCTATGATTGACTCAGTGAAATTGGCATAACTGTGCAGATACAGTTTACCTCTAGTTAGACGAGAAGACCCTATGCAGCTTTACTGTTACTAATTACTAGGTATGGTTGGGGACAATTTTTAGTAAATAAGGTAATTGATAAGATAAAAATGTAATACCTTTATTTGGGGATCATATTGTATGGATTAATTAATCCAACTTGAAAAAGTTACCTTAGAAAGGAAAAATTGCTAGGAGACAGTTTATGCGGGGCACAGACCCCACAAAGAGTAAATGGGAGTGTCCAATTATGTTTTGTGTTTATTATATATATAATAAATGTATCACTAAATTGAATTTTTAAAATTTATTTTAATTATTTATTTGTTTGTAATAGTAGATAGCATTGCTATATTCTATCTTATATATGTATAAATGTACAAGCCTAAATACAATTTTATTGTATTTAATTATATTTTAGCTTTTTTACATTTTAGTATCTTGGTTTACCGGGGTACTAGCTAGTAAAATTTTAATGAGGAAGAATTTTTTTTGTCAGGTAGGATTTTGATTATTGGGAAAATAGTTGTATTTTAATTATTACGAAATTATTCTAATAATTATCAGCTGTCAGTAATCCCCTCGGGGATACGGCGTAAGCTAAAGCTTAGACGGTTATGTGTAATACTTACCAAGTTTAATGGCTAAATCTTGCCTTACTGTTTGACCACCAACAAGTCTTACAGTCGCGTAAGCGGGGCATAGGATCACAAGACACAAAAAGGAAAGGTCTTGGATTATTGGAAAAGCTACGCTAGGGATGTTTGTCCTTCAATATTTAAATATAGAGGCACACCCTTATATGTTTAAATAATTGATATTAAATTGGGTTAATTTCAAAAATTACTTATATTTATAAGTAAATTTGAAGCGAAATTTATCTTAGCATAATTAAACAAGATAAAACCGTTCAACGACTATTAGGTGAGTAATGCTAACAATAACCCTAATTAAATGCCCAACATTTTTTTCAGGTTATATTATTATTAATAATAATAAGACACCAGTATAATAATAAAATAATTTTTGTATAAATAATAATCATCAAAAATAATAAATTAAAAATAATAAATTAAATTCTTTTATTTTTTCTAAAAAAGTTAATACTAACTTTAAATTAACACCCTTCAACGTGTTGAAGGATACTGTAGGTGAAACTAAATATTTACCTCCAGCTTCTAGAGAATGAACTAACAATATATATAACTATAATGTAAATAATGTAAAAAATTATCCAGTTCATAATTTAAATATAAATACTTTAATAAAAGGTTATTTTTCAATGTATTTTAATAATAAATTTTTAACAGGAGGTTCTCCTAAAAAAATTGTTTCAAGGTTGAGAAATAAACGTGTTTCTTTAAATAAAATATTTGTAAGTAAAGCTGAGGTTAAACATACTAATTCAAAAGCTATTATAACAATATACGTTTATAATAGAGAAAAATTAATATTATTGAAAAAAATTCAAATGTTAAAATTAATTTTAACAAAATTTATTTTAATTCAAACTAAATTAATCTCGCAATTAAATATGAATTATTTAACTGAAGGTGCAAATACTATAAATAACAAATTAATTGATCATTTAAGAGCTAACTATAAAATGAGAACTAGATTCATTAGAAGAACTGAAGATTATTCTAAAAAAATAATTACTAGAGAAATTTCTACTACATTATCTCTTCTTAGAAAATGTATGTTAAAATTACATTTAAACAAATCTAAATTTGAAGAAAATTTTTTATTTAAGTTAAGTAACTATATAAGCAAATACTACGGTAAAAAAGTAGAATTTAATATAGTAAATCTTCAACATGTTAGTAAAAATGTAGATATATTTACTGAAATTTTCATGTTAAAAATGAAAAAAGGGAAGAGAAGTCCTCTTATAGTAATGAGACGATTATTAGCTAAAATTAGAATAAAACAAGTAATGAATTCTTTATTAGAAAGAGGTAGAGTACAAAAAACAGTAAACTATGATCTTGTTGAAAATAAATTTAAAAATAAAACATTAAGTCTTATTTTATCAACAAAAGGTTCACCGCTAATCCCTAATCCCTTAGGGGATAAGGGATACGCAACAGATGGTGTAAATAAAATTTTAAATGATTTATATTTAAAAAATTCCATCTTAGCAAGTTTTTCTGATCAATCTAAAGATCTAGAGAATATCTCTGAATCTAAGGCTATAGATAATTTAAGAATTCGTGATATAGTATTAGATAATATTAAATATAAAGAAACAGGAGGAGTTAAATTAGAAGTTAAAGGTAGATTAACTAAACGTTATAGAGCGGATAGAGCTTTATATAAATTTAAATGAAAAGGAGGATTAAAAAATATAGATTCTGCTTTTAAAGGATTACGTACTGTTGTTTACAGAGGTTTTATGGATGCAAATGTAGAAAAATCTTTATTTGTATCAAAACGTAGGATAGGATCTTTTGCAGTAAAAGGTTGATTATCTAGAAAATAATTAACCAAAAGTAGCTTAAGCTATTTTATCACTGAAATATACTAGCCTTAATCAAGGCAAAGAAAAAAATGAAGAAATAGTCTGAACCATTTTGTAAAAAGTGGAAATAATATACTAATTTTTAGTATTATTATGATAACAAGTTGAACAGGCTAATTTGCGCAAGAGTGTGCAAAATGAGTGCGCGGTTTGGCACCTCGATGTCGGCTTAACTTATCCTCATGGACGCAGAAACTATGTAGGGTACGACTGTTCGTCGATTAAAAAGTTACATGAGCTGGGTTAAATACGTCGTGAGACAGTATGGTTTCTATCTTCTAGAGGGAATTAGAATATAATAAGGATTAACCTATGTACGTAAGGAACTTGGAATATTAATTTATTAATATTGAGATAACATAATTATTAATCTCTGGTTTACCTGTTGTTTATATGTCCTAATTAGTAGGACTATCCTATTTTCACTTAAATAGTTATTATAGTATAAGCACGGCAGGAAAGCTATGTTAGTCAAAGATAAGTGCTGAAAGCATATAGGCACGAAGCTTACCTTAAGATATTTCTTAAATATACGTAATATAATATTACGAACACAAATAGGCTTTATCTGTAAGAATCACGAGATTTTAAGGAATTAAGTACTAATTTTATAATTCACTGAATATTTTATATATATCTTACATTTTTTTATATTATGCCTAATTAGCATAAAAGTAATGCAATTGTCTTGTAATCAATAGAAACAAGTGCGATACTTGTATTGGGCTTTTAGGATTAGTAGTCAAGTGGTTACGACATAGCATTTTCGATGCTAGGCTCACGGGTTCGATCCCCGTCTAGTCTATTTATCCTTAATCCCTGCGGGATACTGCAGGTATTCCTTATTTCTGAGTAGATTTCGTCTTAGAAAGCTATAAAGATAACGTTCTTTATTTCTTAATTAAGAAGCTGGCTAATAAAATCTTCGATTTTATCAGCCTCTTAAATAATCAATGATTATTTATTCTTTGCCGTATCCCAGTATCCCAGTATCCCGAATCAAATCGTGATAACGGGATTAGGGATTAGACCATGCAGCAAGCTCCAAAAACCCTCAGCTTAATTAAACCCAATGTTTTATAAAAGGTACTTTTATAAAATCTGTATCTCAGTATACCAGTATCCCTACACATAAAAAAACATCACTGATAAAATCTCCGATTTTATTCTGCGCAGATTATTTATACTGCCTCAGGAGTAAGAATATAGAGATAAGAGGCTGCGGATTGGTGTAATAGAAACATATTTGGCTCATGACCAACTGATAGAGGTGCAATTCCTTTGTCCGCATTATGGGGCTATAGCTTAATTGGTAAAACATACTGCTCATAACGGTCGTTATCTTTAATCAGAGCTTACGCCGGGTAATAAATCCTAGAGTTTATAGTGATATACTCTACATGAAAAAAAAAAATCTCGTCTTTTTTTATTAAGCTATGTGGTAAAGCTGAACCTTGCTTTGCTTACAGAAAAAAGTTTAAGATATTTATAAGCTTATTTAAGTTTATTGTGGTTCTGGCGAAGCACCCATCCTTTTTTTATGACAAATTTATTTTATAATATTTATACAGGAGTGATTAGTCTTTCAACCTGAGGAACGAAAGGCGCGAGGTTTACCATTTATACGCAAATAAATAAATGGATATGTTCCTTATCACGAAGTGATACTGAATTCCCCCCAGTATCCCAGTATCCCGAATCAAATCGTGATAACGGGATTAGGGATTAGGGATTAGGGTTTAGCTTTACCCTTACAAATTTCACTTTATCATGGAGCGCAGAATAGATTTTTTTCTACTAGTTTAAATACATGTGAAAGTACTAATGAAGGTTTAAGTAAGTCACCTGTCCCATCAGTTGAAGAAAAGTTAACTAGCCAAGCATTAGATAATTCTGATCCATATTTTACTGTAATTCTTAACGGTAAACAAAATACGGTTTCCGGTGATTTCATAGAATGGTTTAGAGGTTTTACAGATGCCGAAGGTTGTTTCCTGATAACTAAAACAGGTAACACTTTTGCATTTATGTTTTTAATCAAATTACACATAGATGATGCTTCTGTATTAGATTTCATTCAAAATAACTTAGGTATGGGTAAAGTTACTATTACCAATCTTCCGTTATTTTTGCAATAACTTCCCAAAAAGAAATTAAATTTCTTTTAGATTTTTTCACTAGATATTCTTTAAATACAACAAAGCACCTTAATTTTTTAGTATTTAAAAAGGGTTTCGAACTTTATGTAAATTCGAAGTTTAAAACTCCGGAACTTGCATTAGAAATCGAAAATCTTAAAAAGGCTATGAATAGTAAAAGAACAGATCTTTAAATGCCAAAATCTCATCAAATTCTTATAACATCTCACTGGCTTTTAGGATTTGTCGAAGGTGATGGTAGTTTTAGGGTTATAAAAGCAGATAATATTTTAATGTTTTCCTAGGAAATCCCCCGCGACCAAAAGGTAATTTAGTTTTGATGGAGACAATTAAAAGTTTCTTATTTGACTTAGCTAAATCTAAATGCTTAAAAGAGGGTTATGTTTATGTTACTAAAATTAAGAACACTTCTCCTGAAGCCGTTTATATTTTATCTGTTAAAAATAAGGATCTTGTAGAAAAAGTATTAATCCCTTTTTTCGACTCTATGATCTGACATAGTAAGAAACAATTAGATTATTCAGACTGAAAATTTGTATTTAAAATTAAACAATTAGGATTGCACTATACAAAGCCAGGAGAAGATTTAATAGGTTTTATTTTAAGTAGAATGAACAATAATAGACTAACTATTAGCAAAGAAGGGATTGAGTCTATGAAAACAGTTAGAAGTTTTAGTCCATCAGAAATTGACAAAATAATGAGTGGGCCTTCTAATTATGAAAGACAAGAAGATGGTAAAATCTTAATAAAATCTTCTAATAAAAACAGTTTTAGCTGAAAAAATATCGAAGTGGAGCTTAGAGACCCTCAAGGTTTCATATTTAAAACTTTTAAATCTATAACTAATTGTGAAAAATTCCTAGGGGTAAGTTCTCATACAATAACTAAAAGAATTAAAACCAATAAATCAGTATTTTTAACGATAGAGAATACTATGTAAAAATTAATGAATAATAGTAATATAGGCAGGTTAAGATCTTTAGATGTAATGCTATTACAAGAGGCTATAACTTAATTGGTAAAGTGTACTGCTCATAACGGTAAAAATAAGTGTTCAAGTCACTTTAGCCTTATAAATATATATCGAATATTCTTATATTTTATAGTCCGAGTGGTGAAATTGGTATACACGACAAGCTTAAGTTTTGTTAACGAAAGTTGTGGAGGTTCGACCCCTTCCTCGGATAATCTTATCCATCATAGATAATGGGTGCTTCAATAATAATAGATTTGGCCGTGCCTCTATAGGGGATATAGTATAATTGGTATTACGGTAGTGTTGCACGCTATTTATTTGAGTTCGATTCTCAATATCTCCATATTAGTATCACTGCATCACTGTATCACGAATTTTTTAAAAAAATAAGCGAATAAAAATCTGCGGAGAATCAAATCCCAGATTTTATAAGGATTTGATTATACGAATCCCGTATCCCGTAGGGATACGGGATACGTGATTAGTGGTTAGGGTTTAGATTACTACGTCAAGCTCAAATAACTCAATTGGTAGAGTCCACTATTGAAGCTAGTGTTGTTGTAGGTTCAAATCCTGCTTTGAGCAAATTTAGAGGCACGCGAGAATAAAAATCCCCTAATTTTTATACCCTCATCTCGTAGTGATACGGAAATTCCCCGTGTCCCATATCTCGTGTATAATAAAATCCATCGCGGATAAACCCGAAGATTTTATTCTGCGTAGGATTTTATAAGCGAGGGATAAGGGATACGCATAATAGGTATGCTGAAATGGGAGACAGGCTCTGTTTAGGCCAGAGTGGTTAAATCCGTGCAAGTTCAAGTCTTGTTACCTATATAAAAATAAGCATAACTTTAAATCTTTTAGTTATAGTAAAAATTATAACATTATAAAGGCAAAAGCCTATTGGTCGATTAACTAAAAGCAGTATCCCTGTATCACGTGTTTTTATAAAAAAATACGCGAATAAAAATCTACCGCTTATAAAATTTTACTCTAGATTTTTATTCGGGATACGTGATTAGGGATATGAGGCGACTAAAAATAGATTGTTGAGGTATCTTGTGGACTAATGGGTAAGTCATAAATTTTTGATATTTACTATTGAGTGTTCGAATCACTCCAAGATAATTTAAGAGGGTCGATAAAAAAATCCTGCGCATAATAAAATATTATAAGCTGAGGATTTTTGGAGCTTGCATGGCCTAATCCCTAATCCCTAATCCCGTTATCACGATTTAATTCGGGATACTGGGATACTGGGATACGGCAAAGAATAAATAATCATTGATTATTTAAGAGGCTGATAAAATCGAAGATTTTATTAGCCAGCCTCTTATAATAATTAATATACAATTATTATAGAGGAAAAGCTTTACCTGTATCTTTTATTATAAGTCAGGTTTTTAGAAAATTCCGCGAGGCTTTATTAAGTTTTATATTATAAATATAGTTAATAGGTAAATATAACTCAATCGGTAGAGTAACTGTATGTGGCACAGTAGGTTCTAGGTTCAAGTCCTAGTATTTACCCTTTATTAGGATAGTTTAATCGGTTAAAACCTTAATTTCATACATTAAAGATGAGAGTTCAATTCTCTCTCCTGATTTCATTATATCATGATAACTTTATCTATATTATGTTTATTATTTTCTAACGCCGTCACTTTAAGACGAGATATGTCAATACTTTTTAATAGAATAGCAATAATTGCATTAGTTTACTGTTGTCTGCAAGATATTGTAAGTTTATCTATATTAAATAAAGGAATAGGTATACATGGAGGTTTACTTCATATAACTAACATAACTCAAATATTTCATATATTTGTCTTTATTATTAGTATATTAATCTTACAATTAACAAGTTTCTACCCTAGAAAAGTTTGAGTTGAAGAACATTCTTCTTTAAACTCTTTATTTTTTAATAAATTAGTTTATTATAGAACTAAAATAATTAATAAAATGGGTGAACAATTTAAAATAATAGAATATCCTGGCGAACGACTTGGGAAGTTGTTATATTTATGGGATAAACTGCCAAATTCCGGGAAGCCCTAAAGCTTTTGATACCAAATCTGGTTGAATTTTACCGTGGGATGAACTAATTACTCATGTACGGTAACAAGTCAAAAGATAAGTGAAAACGAAATGGGTTATCGCGGATCTAAATCAAACTATATTAAGTTTGTAAAAGAGCAACGAGTAGACGGTAGTTGCATGGGACTATTAAATTGTTCCATGTTAAGGTATATCTTAAAGGGTTCGAAAGAATTACCTACAATGGAATCCCTTCTAACCAAATTCTAAATAAACAATTATATTCAACAATTAAAACTTTTAAAAATCACGAGCCGAAATCTGAACTATATACTAATAACGATTTAAGTCTTACTTTAAATCCTTGATTTGTAACAGGATTTGTAGATGGAGATGCTTCATTTTCTGTCTCTATTGCAAAAAAGAAATCAGGTATAGGGTGAAAGATTCAACCTATATTTTCTATAGGTTTGGATCCAAAAGACTTAGATATTTTAGTCCTAATTAAAGATTTTTTTAAAGTAGGTAAAATCTATACCAGTAAAAGAGGTATAATTTACTACACTGTAGGCTCAACAAAAGATATAATAAAATATATCTTACCTCATTTTGACAAGTATCCTTTATTTTCTCTTAAATTAAAAGATTATCTAGTATTTAAAGAAATAGTTACTCTTATGGAAAAAGGAGAACATAATTCTTTGTCTGGTTTGTTAAAAATCTTCTCATTAAGAGCTATTTTAAATAAAGGACTACCGGAGGTAATAAAAACAGAATACCCTTATATTATTCCTGCTACTCAGCCAGAGTTTAAGTTATCTCTTAATTTAAATCCTTATTGATTATCAGGGTTTATAGCCGCAGAAGGGTCTTTTTTATCTCTATCTACTCCAGTGAGGAAAGAAAAGCCGGATACGCCGTAAGTTTAATATTTAGTTTAAGTCAACACATTAAAGATGTAGAATTACTTGAAAAAATTGTTAAACAATTGGATTGCGGTGTAGTCAGAAAACATAATAACCGTTCATCTTGTGAAATAGTTGTCACTAAATCTGTGGACATTAATCTTAAATTAATTCCTTTTTTGTCTAAATATACTCTTTCGGGTATAAAATTATTAGACTTCGAAAGATTTAAAAAAGCCTCTAATTTAATAGAAAATAAAATGCACTTAACTCCAGAGGGAATTGTATTAATAAAAGCTATTAAAGATACAATGTATAATAAAGGTTTATAAGGTTAGGTTTTATCTGATTTAGTATATTTAAAGTCATCTTCTGATATAATGAATTTAAAGTTGTGATTTTAAGTAAAAAATTAATTGTTTAGAGTTTGCATGATAAATCCAGTCCCAATGTTAATATTATTATTTATAATTAGTGGTGCAGTATTTTTAATGTCTACTAATGATTTAATTTCTATATTTTTAGCTATAGAATTACAAAGTTATGGTTTATATTTATTAAGTACAATATATAGAAATTCTGAATTAGCTACTACAGGTGGTTTAGTTTATTTCTTATTAGGTGGCTTGAGTTCATGTTTTATTTTATTAGGTACAAGTCTATTATATGCAAATTCAGGTACTACTAGTATGGATGGTTTGTATATTATTACTAGTATAAGTGATAATGTAGATTCTTGATATAAACCTTATTATATAAATTTTGCTTTATTAATATTTAGTATAGGTTTCTTATTTAAAGTAAGTGCTGCTCCATTTCATTTCTGATCACCTAAAAAAGGACTTGGGAAATCCTTATCGACAAACGTTGGGTGTAAACTATCAAATTCCGGGGAACCCCTAAAACTTCTGGTACTAAACCATATGTGAAAATATATGTGTGGCTGAATTAATTACTCGGGTATAGTAACAAGCCAGAAGATATGTAAAAACAAAATGGGCAATCGCGGATCTAAATCAATAATAGGTGAAAACATTATTGTAAAAGAGCAACGAGTAAATGGTAGTTGATACGGTAAATCTTTACCGTATTTAAGATGTACTCTACTGGGCTTCGAAAGAAGTTATCAAGTTAAAATCCCTTCTAACCAAATTATTCAAAAACAATTTTATTCCAATGTATCTAGCTTAGATAATAACAAATTACCTCTAGAACCTTTATTTATTTCAGGATTTACTGATGCAGAAGGATGTTTTCTGGTTATAATCCGTAAATCACCAAAAAGCCTACTAGGATGACAAATAGAGGTTAATTTCACAATTAACCTTCATGTTAGAGATCTAGAACTTTTAAACCTTATTAAAGCCTATTTTGGGGCAGGAAGGATAGGTAAAGAAAGAAACGGCTGTTGTGACTTTACAATAGGTTCTTTAGATCAAATAATAACAAAAGTAATACCTCATTTTGATAAATATCCTTTAAAAACTAATAAATATTCTGATTATTTATTATTTAAAAAAGTTGCATTGATGATGCAAGGTAAGGAACATTTAACTGCTGTAGGTTTACAAAAAATAGTTAATATTAGAGCTTGTTTAAATAGAGGATTAACTCCTTTACTTTTAGAAAGCTTTCCTAATACCGTTGGTTTAGCAAGACCATTGTTACCACCACTTACTGTCAAATTAGACCCTCAATGGGTAGCTGGTTTTACAAGTGGTGATGGTTGTTTTAAAATCAGTATTAGAGAATCTAAACTACATAAATTAGGAAGTCGTGTAGCATTACTTTTTATAGTAACTCAACATGTTAGAGATGAATTACTATTGAAAAGTTTAATAGATTTCTTTGGGTGTGGTCAAACATACTCTTATAAAGATTATACTGAGTTTAGATGTCAATCATTCAAAGATAACTATGAAAAGATTTTACCTTTTTTCGACAAATACCCTATTATTGGCGTTAAATCTAAGGATTTTGAAGATTGAGCTAAAGTAGCTAAAATGATACAAACAAAAGTTCATTTAACTAATGAAGGTTTTGATCAGATTCGTCTAATAAGAAGAGGAATGAATAAAGGTAGATATACAGAATAAAATTGTTTTTTCTTTAATTTGAACGATAAATTTAATAAGCATCACATGGACGTTTACGATGCTATACCTACAATAGTTACTACATTTGTAGCTATTATTGCTAAAATATCCATATTTATTTTATTATTAGAAATAGTATATTTTACTAGTAATTATTTCTCAGAATTTAACTGAACATTTGGTTTATTAATGAGTTCTTTATTATCTTTAATAATTGGTACAGTAGTAGGTTTAACTCAGTTTAGAATAAAAAGATTATTTGCTTATAGTACTATAAGTCATGTAGGATTTATTTTATTAGCTTTAAGTATAACTAGTGTTGAATCTATACAAGCATTTATATTTTATTTAATGCAATATTCTTTAAGTAATTTAAATGCTTTTATTATATTAGTTACAATAGGATTTTCTTTTACTTTTACGTAACTAACAATAAAGAACATAAAGAGTTATTAGATAAAAACAATTCTCCTGTACAATTAATTAATCAATTAAGAGGTTATTTTTATGTTAATCCTGTTTTAGCTTTAAGTTTAGCTATTACTATCTTTTCTTTTGCCGGAATACCACCTCTTGTTGGGTTCTTTGCTAAACAGATGGTATTAAGTGCTGCTTTAGATAGTGGATATGTTTTCTTATCTTTAGTTGCTATATTAACTAGTGTAGTGGGTGGAGTTTATTACCTTAATGTTGTAAAAGAAATTTTCTTTTATAAACCTGAATATAAATTAAATACTTTATTAAATAATAAAAATTTATTAGGTTCTATATATAATAATAATAATACTTTAGTAAAGAATTTAAAATTTAACCATAATAATATTGTTATGTCTAGTTCTATATCTATTACGATATCTATTATAACTCTTATAACTTTATTATTTATGTTTATGAATAAAGAATGATTAAGTATGGGTACAGTAAAATCACCATCATTCTTTCGTAGCTCGGCCCAATTAAATTTGAATAATTATAGTAGAAACTTTCGTTTTAAAAGTAACTACAATAATATATTAATTAGAAACTATTCGACAGATATTAGAAACAATACTATTAATCCTTGATTTGTATCAGGATTTACTGATGCTGAAGGTTCTTTTATGATACATTTAGAAAAAAATAATGATAAAATAAGAGTAAGACCTACATTTCAAATTAAACTTAATATTAGAGATTTACCTTTATTGGAAAGTATTAAATCTTATTTTAATGAAGTAGGAACAATTCATATATCTAATGAAGAATGTGCTTATAAAGTAAGATCTTTAAAAGATGTATTAATAATAACATCGCATTTTGAGAAATATCCTTTAATAACTCAAAAACATGCAGATTATCTTTTATTTAAACAAATTACGGATAAATTAGTTAATAAAGAACATTTAACTTTTACAGGATTAAATGAAATTATTAATATATCTGCTTCGATGAATTTAGGTTTACCTTCATGAATTAGTGACCCTACTCTTATCATTAATAATAATTCTTTCAA